CTCGGTGTGGTGTTGTGTTGTAGCCAGCACGGGTTTGTTGTGGGTACGTCTTGCTTGACCAATCTCACTTCCTTCTATAACCAGGTGACCTATCACCTGGGCAAGGGAGAAGAGATTGATGTCATATATCTGGACTTCAAAAAAGCCTTTGACCTGGTATCCCATGATCACCTCTTGGTGAAACTGGCCAGTTGTGGTCTTGGGTCCTCCATGATCTGCTGGCTGGGAAATTGGCTCCGTGGTCAGACCCAGAGGGTTGTAATTGATGGCAGTCACTCATCATGGTGTCCTGTGACTAGTGGGGTTCCCCAAGGCTCTGTCCTTGGACCCATATTGTTCAACATCTTCATTAATGATGTGGACATTGGAGTCAGGAGCGGACTGGCAATGTTTGCTGATGACACCAAACTTTGGGGCAAAGTATCCACGCCAGAAGACAGGCCGGTGATCCAAGCTGACCTGGACAGGCTCAGCAAATGGGTGGACGAGAACTTGATGGTGTTTAACAACGAAAAATGTGAGGTCCCTTACAGCTCCTAATGTCTATGAAATTTATGAAACTTTGATGAAAAAAGTAATTAACAGAGAGGAAATAAATAAAAAATAGAATACAATGTAACATGGGTTGAACATCAGTATATTGTGTTAATTTGGTTGCTTTCTTCAAGAAAACTGATTCCTTTTGGAAAAGGGATATGTGTTAATATCATCTATCTGAATTTAAGTATCTGATAAAGTGCCAGATGGGAAAATATTAATTAAACTAGAGAAGATGAGTATTATTAGAACACTTCTAAGATGTGTAAGGAATTGTCCAAAGGGTGACAACAGGTTGTGCTGAAAGGGAAACTCTTGGTCTGAAGAAAGGTTCCTAGCGGAGTTCTTCAAAGACTGTTCTTGGGACTAGTCCTACATAATATTTTCATTAGTAACCTTGTTAAAAAGAGTAGAAGCATGCTGGCAACATTTGATTATGACAACCTGCAACTAGGAAGCATTATCAAAACAAAAGCAATTGGGATATATCACAGAAGAAACTGGATGACACTGAAGACAGGAGTAATAGAAATGGGATGAAATCTAATAGGACGAAATTAAGTCACTTGAGAGACAAATAAACACTTCTGATATAAGGTGAAAGGTGAGAACTCATCAGTTGGAGATCATTGATGCAAAGGACCCAAAGGTACTAGTTGATCACAGGCTGGTGACTATGAGTTGCAAATGTGATCTTTCCATGACAAAATTAAATTCAACCCCAGAATGTATCACTTAAGGTATTTCTAGCAGAGGTGGGAGCATATTAATGCCATTGTACAAGGCACTGGTGAGATGTAAACTGGAATACCATACACAGTTCTGGTCACCCGTGTTTAAGAAAGATGGCTTTAAATTAAAAGAGGTGCAGACAAAGGATACTAGGGTGATCAGGAGAATTGAGCCAGGCATAAAAGAAGGCAAAAAACCCACAAAAAGCTTTGCTTGTTTAGTCTAGCAAGAGAGAGGCTTAGAAAAGATATGGTTGTTCCCTACGAATACAATGGGGGCTGAAGCAGGAGACAAGCTATTCTAGTGCTAGAATAATGTTGGCACAAGAACAAAAGGGTGTAAACTGGCTAAGAATAAACTTAGGTTGGAAATTATGCTTATAATCAGCAGACATATGAACATCTGGAACAGCCTTCCAAATGGAAGTAGAAGGGCAAAACCCTTAATTGCTTTTTTCAAGAAGTTAGATAAGCTTATAGCAGCATGACCCAGGAGGTTCTTCTAGTTCTGTGTTCTATAAATAGGAAATTGTGATTTCAAGCTCCTTCCTTTATTATAGGAAAGTACCACTGGATTCCCCAGTATAGGACTAGAAATCTTACAGGAAAGAAGCTGGCCACAAAGACAAACAAGAAAGGGCTATGCTGCAGCCCTTGGCTTTGCTGGGTAAAATAAATTTATCTGAACGAATTGTATACTCAATGCTTGGTTTTGAGAGACATTGAAATCAAAATGTTTTGCACCACTCAAAATCAGGCCTTGACACGTGCAAAATGTATGAGAAACAATAATAAAGTATCTTTAATATTTATGGCCTTTTATATACCTATAGCCTCACATAACTGTGGTGTGAAATCTTATCAAATGTATTACTTTTGTCTATATTCCAGTAAATATTCCTAGAATATTCCTTTTCCCACCCTTGGGGTTCATGGAAGGGGTTGAGTTTCTTGGGATTTAGTGACCCAAGAAACTATGCCAGCAGGAGCTTAATCTTGTGGTAGGATCACTTATGGGATACATTTGGAAGCAGAGGCCAGTCCACATCAGTAATGTCTGATTTTTGAATGGGAGAGTTACTGATGGCACTGAACAACAGATGACAAGCAGTGGTCTCCCTGTTGATAAGAGATTATCTTCTCAGTGGTGAGAGGACAGATGAGCCAAAGTATGTCAGTCACAAATGGCAAAACTGGCAGATAACCCAAAACTAGCAGATAATGATTGCAGCTGAGGCACCAATACAGTAGGATAGGTCATACTTCATGGCTGAACATGAAAGAATATATTTGTCTCTCTCTGTGTGGTTCTGCATGAGATTCACAGAGGCTGTTGACCTCTCCAAGCAGTTATGCAGTGCCACTCTGCAACTAAAGTATTCTAGGCATAAGAAGTAAGCTTGGTTGATGCCTTTTTGTTGCCAATTGGCTAAGTCTTAAGCACACTCATCACATCAGTAGAAAGCCTCTGATTGATATCTCCTGAGTTTGAGACAGCTGTATTGATTATTGTTAGGTGCCTTGGCTGGATCATTTTGGGGACTGATAATACCTTGAAAGACTATTTCTAGATTTTTGTATCAGTGTAACCTGCATCGTTTTATGCCTTAATGTAAATTAGACTGGGGTCTGCAGCAGAAAAATGAGCAATTTATCCTGAGGTAGCTGCACACATTAGGTTCTGTTACTGTGCCTTGCCAGTAGGTGGCAGGGAAAGGGGATAGAAAACATGTTTGTCTTGAGTAAATGGCTACTTTGAATTATGAGCAGAGATATAGCTCTTACACAACAATTTTTTAAGAAAAAAGTTGAACATGAAATTGTGGACTGGACTGGTCTAAACAGGGACTATGGATTCTTGTCCCACTACCCAGATTACCTTTTGGGATCCTTTTGTCCCTTTAGGTTCATTATTTGTTTGCCTTGCCCAGCATTGTACCATTCATACTTTGCTTTCCCTCCCCTGTCTTTCTGTATTCAGATCACTCTATCTATTTGTTAGATTGCTCTGTGCATGTCCTTTCGCAGCATCTGATGAAGTAAGCTTGGGGTCAGGAAGCTTGTATTATACACAGTACTGTACCTAGATTCCTGACAGCCCCAAGATAACTTTTAGTATCAGGTTCCCCTTCGTCAGAGATGATGATAATAATAATCAGACAATGGAAAAAAAAATTACCATTTTCAGGTCTCCTTTCTCTCCTGGTCCTGTGCAGCTGTCCAGTTTGCCCATGGCTGTGTCTGAGTCTGGTTATACATCTCTGATTTAGTTAGTCTATAAGATGCTTGAATTATGGGTATATGATACCTAAACTAATTTTTTTTTGCCCCTCATTATTTTAGGATTGAGAGAAGTTCCCCCTGTGTAAGGGCTCACATTATCTATCTGCTCCTTTTTCATGCTGGTGTAAAGGCCAAGTACGCCCATGTAAATGTGTCTGGTCAGGCACACGGGTGCAAATAATACATCATCTTGCTAGATGTTTGAAATTACAGAAAGAAGAAACTCCTCACTGCTTTCTGTATTTTTCCTTATGGAACGATTTCTTCAAATGCAAAATGTCTTTGCATGTGTAAAAACACAGGAATTTGAGAAAGCAAGAAAACATACTGTTTGAATTGGGCTCAAAATATTTTACAACTGCATTAAATTAATTTTGCAATGTTTTGCAGCTTTTAAGGGATCAAAAAACAGTTTTCTGTCTTTAATGGGTAAAATTACGCCATTTACTTTTAAACTTCACAAGTAGAAAGACTCCACAGTGTTCTTCAGCTCAGGATTGAATTTTTTGTGGTACTTTCCTGGTGAAATGTGTGTTATTGTGCTAATGAATCTGGAGGCTTTGTAGGAAAGTCTCATTGGTTTTGATCAGTTGGCACTATGTGGATGTGAGACTATGTTGATTCTGTTGCTAGGAAGGAGGAGGGAAGTAATTTAAACAGTTATTTAAATGTTTCCCTCTTCAGGGAATTTGAAGTTTTGGAATTTTTCTATACTACTTTTTACAGTGATACTCACTTTTTTAGAAGGCCTAAATTCTCCCATTTAAGTTATCCTCCTGGGTATTGTAGTCTCTCTTTCTGAAGACCAAGTAAGCCAGACTCAGACTTTCAAGGTGCCCTTAAAAATGGGAAAAAATTGATAAAGGCAGTCACCTGCCAAGATTATAGCACTGCTAAACAATATTATATGGCCTTTGCCCCCAGAACTGTGTAGACCAGTGATTCTCAACCAAGGTGCCATAGCCCCTGGACTGCCTTGAGACCCTTTCAAGGAGCTGTGGGTTGCCACACAACATTAGGTGTGCAAATGCCAGTCACAAGATAAACCCCAGAGGCTGGATCTAGATGTAGAGGCACATGTGGCTTGTGACATTGCAAACCTCTCTGCAGTGCCACTGTGCTATAAATTAGCAGCACCGTGCACTGATTACTGTGCAACTCGTGTGGATTGTGGCACCCAAATAGGAATTCATAGCATTTAAAAACAATCTGCCCTGCTGTGGTCTTCCTGGGTGCTTTGCAACAGAGGAATCACTCTGGAGTAAAAAAAAAGACCTAAAATAAAATAGGACTGAAAGCCAAGAGCTGGCATTTTCCGAGGGCTGCCTCGAGTCTAGAGAAAAAAGGGAGGGGGACAGGGGGTTGAGAAGCACTGGTGTAGACAAATCTCTCCGTGGCTTTTCATTTCGAGCAGCCAGAAGAAACTCAGGCTCCCTCCCGGCTGCTGTGACTTGCTGGGTTTCCAGCAGGGGGTGCGGAAGAGCAGGGCTTTTCCTCCCCTCTCTACAGGGCTGGAGCTGCTGGTTTGCACCCCCTCCCCTCTTCCCCTTGCTGAGATTTTCCCTAGTGACGTTGGGATGCTGGAGAAGGAGGAGGAGAGAGAGGCTCCCTCCTCCTGCAGCCCGGGACAGTCCGTTGCAGGGCAGAGCCGTGGCCGGCGGCGGGCTGAAGTCACTGGGCACCGGGCTGGGATTGCCGGGCGGGACAGCAACAAAGTTCTCCAGAACTTCGGGGGAGGCCGGCCAAGAGGTGGGACCTCCTCCGCCGCCGCCGCCGCCGCCGGCCAGGCGGGATCCACTTCGGGGAGCGCATCCGCGAGCAGGCGGCTCCTGCAGCATCTCCGGGCCCGCTCCCCGCCCGCGGCGGCTGGGCCACAAAGAGCTCTTTGTGCGGCGGGCGGCGCAGGGCTCCCCAGCATGGGCCGGGGCACGGCCGGCGCCCTCCTCGCCCTGCTGGCGGCGTCCGGGCTCCTCCGCCTCCGCGCAGCAGGTAAGCGCGGGGGCGCCAAGCTCCTCGGCGGAGGAGGGAGGGCGGGCGAGGCTTGTCGGGGGGCCACTTCGCCCCCGCTGCACAGCCCCCGGCCCCCGCGATGCTCGGGGCCGGGAGGTGGAAACAAAGGGCCGGGCGAGGCTGTGCGCGGCTCCCCCCCCCGCGCAGCGCCCGGGAGACGGAGCTTGAAGAGTGTGTGTGTGTGAGAGAGAGAGAGATGAAAGTTTCAGTGCGTGTAAATAAGTGTGAGAGAGAGATGGAGGCTTGAGCGTCAGTGTGCGTGTCTGATGGGGGCTTCAGTGTGCATGTGTGCGTCTAAAGTGCGCGCGCGATAGGGGCTTAAGTGGGAACGTGCGTGTGTCTGTGTTTGTGAAACGGAGGTTTAAGTGTGTAAATAAGTGTCAGAGAGATGAAGGCTTAAATGTGTGTGAGTGTGTACGTGAGGTAGGGAGGCTTGAGTGTGAGTGTGTGCGTGGCAGAGAGAGATGAAGGCTTGAGTGTGAGAGAGAGAGGTGGAGGCTTGGGTGCGAGTGTGATGGAGGCTTAA